CAGAGTGGAAATGCGAAGCGCCAACGCATGATACGGGTTGTGGTCGTGGTACGACCGGACTAAAACGACACATAACCGAGGAAAAAGTCAGCAAGCCAAGTATTGATGCCAGCTCCTTGAGACCTCGTCAGACCCGTTAGACACAACATGATGCACCGTACCCACTTACCTACCCACTTACCTACCTACCTACCTAGCTACCTACCTATCTTCTCAGCCCGAACAGTATGTCATAAGTCTGAGCCGCGGCGCCACAGGTATTCTCAAACGTTGTATAAAGAAAGTAGTGACGCCCGTATGGCCCATGTGAATCTGCCCCCTCATCTCTGAACCCAGTACATAGGGAGCTTGGTAGGATTCCTGTAAAGCGCTTCCTGGAACCTCCCTTACTGGTTCTTAGTAGGAAATAATAAGGGAAAAAACTCCCTGTACAGTCCCCTTATACTACATTCCCTTATTCCCTACTATAAGCCCCATATATACGCTATTATAATGTAGTAGTTCAAGTTTTCTTTTCCATTATCCCTATACACTATATTGCCTTATTCCCTACTAATCCTGCCCGGATTTGTGCGAACCCCCCCCCCAAAGTGACATACATGTAAAGCCTGCACAATCCTTCTTGGGAGGAACTGTAGTCTTGATTGGGCCCCTTCCTTCGGTTGGACCCGACTTTGAGGGAGGGCACTTGGAGGCTCATGCATAGTTAGATGTGGGACTATGAGGCCTTCAATTTAGATTACAGCCGCACTTATGCCGTTTCCAACCCCTCTTCTAACTACCCTAAGCTCTAAACTATACCCTGGATATCTACAGAGCTCTACATGATCCCCAGAGCATCCCAGAACCCTGTAACCCCACATAACTGCCCATGAACCTCCAAGCAATCATCATCTAAGCTATAGTCTACACTCCTCGAAGGGGGGGTTATATAGTGGATTATATAGGAGGTTATTATATGGTTATTATGCAGAGGAATATCAGGAGTTTAGACTATAGCTCATCTGAGCTTCGAAGGCCTCCGAGTTGATGGCTGCCTCCGAGGCGAAGCGACAGCGCGAAAAGTCGACACCCGGCAACCGATTTGCTTCAAGGGGGAGTGGGAGGTTACACATATGTCTGGGGACTCTGTAGGGGATATACTTATATACATATATGTATGTTCATACATAGATGTATATAGAGGCTGAGTTGGGGTTTTATAGCTTAATTGTGTTCAGGGCTCCACAACAATTACAGGCCCCTTCCTGAGTCCCAAGAGGAGGGATTCAAGACTCAACATCGCAACGTCAAAGCCTCGAAAGCTCAGCATCAAGGCCTTAAGACCTGCAAACCGCCTCTAAGACTTCACAGCCTGCCAAACCTGGAGACCTCCAAACCTCGAAACCCTTATTGACCTCGGCCTCGCAGCCGCGAAGACTTGGCCTCGAAACGGGAAACCTGAAAACCTGGAAACCTCCTGCCCGAAACCCTTGTTAACCTCGGCCGCGAAACCTGGACTTCGAAACCTCGAATCCCCCGTCTCAAAACCATGAAGCCTTGAACACTGAACATCTCGGCTTCAAAACCTCGTACCTCTGCCTTGAAGCATCGAGACCTCGAAGCCTCTTCAGTGGATTCCATTGTCAGGTCTGTTCAGAGCATTTTGGTTTAGAATAGAAGGGGAACGCTTGTTGGTAATTAAGCATGTTGGCCGAATTTTAGGCTTTAGATCTCTATACATCGGCATGCCCCTTAGGGACCTGCCAACGGGACCAGAACATCGTTACGTGTGGGTTGATCTAGAGGCCCTTTTGGGACATCATTTGGGGAAATTGCAGCTGTATAACGTGGGAAAATATGGCGGATGTTATTGCCTATAATGGCCATTTTGCAAACAGGAGTTTTGATCAGCTACTTGGAGGAGGTCAGGGAGACTTAGTAAGCAGGTTAATAACCCCTATAACCCATATAGTAAGCCCATTTATACTCATTGTTAACCTACTTGCTAAGTCTCCCTGAACCCCCAAGTACCAGATACTTACTGTGGATAGAGGAGATTTCCCAAACTGGATCCCTTTGCAGGGGTCCTGCTTGACAGGGATTCTATAGTCTAGGGTTTAGGGTTTAGTATCTGGGGGTACATAGAAGTACCCGAATTCATGAACTCAAGGGAGATAGATTCTTGTGGAGAGGTCATGTTGTTAAAGTCCTAAACCTAGACCCTCAATAGTAGTTCCCTTGTTTCTGCATGATCTCCATAGAATTCCCGTATCATCCTCCAAAAAATCCCTAAACGCTAAACCCAAAAGGTCGAGATTGAGTTGAGGTTGGACACAAGATTGCAAAACACATGCTGTCGGCATTTGGGGTTGCCCACAATTTGGGTACCTTTTTGGGGTCTCTATAATAAGGATTATAGCATTTTGATTCAAGCCATGTTCATGGCTATTGGCACTAAACCTGCACAATCCCAGACAATGACTGTTCTTCACAATTCCTGAAACCTACAGGGACAGCCTACAAATCCAAAAAGCCCAATTGAACCTAGCTAAGTAAAACGTGTGGCGCATATGCCCAAGAGCAGAGAACAGAGTCAGCTGGGAGTCAGGAAGAGGAGCTATTGGAGGCAGGCTTTCACCCTGAAGGCTCCTTGGCTGAATCGATGCTTTGGGAAGACGTGGAGCCTTTCCAAACTTTGTAGAAAGTCCAGACATAAGTATTTGAACAGTTCGGGACACAAAAGCGGGGAGCCCTCCTCTTCAGATTTCCTACGCTATAGGAAACCCTACAATTAAATTAGCTGGGCTACGCCTACCAGTTCACCGTGCTGTCTGTGCTTTCATTCCCACGAACCCTTATACAAATGCCATCCTGCACGCAAAATCTCATACCACATCTGATTGTTGCACCCCAGGCAGCTGGTCCAACCAACGACAGGATCACAAAGAGCACTAGACCCGAAAGCCGCGCGGCCCTAGATCCCGAGCCCCCTAGTTGGGAGGCCTCCGAAACCAAGGCGTCCCATAGAAAAGCCTCCCAAGCCCTGCTACACAAGGAGAAGAATGAGACTCTGACGATTTCAGCTGATCTGGCGAACACGGAGCTTTCAGACTCGGATGCTCGTCAAAAGTTGCTAGCGGCTAGGGTTTTCTAAAACGAGTAGGAAAAGAACTTTGCAATAGCGTATGTTTCCCAAGGTGATTCCTCTCACATTTGAGATATTGTCTGAAAGCCCATGTCTAAGACTTGAGCCAAAGCTGTGAACCTACGAAGCCTTCATGCCCTTTAACGCTATGTTAAGACTCCCCACCACCTCATTGACAGCTGCTCTATGCAGGGGCAAATAGAGGAAATGCCTCTGCAAACCCTAAACCCCAGACCTTAAACCCCCATATAACCCCTATAATCCCTGTGGTTTCCATTTTCTGTTCCGTTACCCCTCAACCCCAAGCCCTAAACCCTAAACCGCCTGGGCCCAGGATGTTCCCGATATGTTAGACTGGCTCCGAGGCCACTCGGATCACGTTGGTTTAAGGTTTGGGGCTTGGGGTTTGGGCTTAAGCTTTGGGGATGAGAGGTAATGGAAGAGAGAATGGAAATTACTATAGTACAATGGGGTCATGTAGGGATAATGGACAAGAAAATGGAAACTACAGGGATTATAGGAGAGAGATAGATATAGATATATATATATATCTCTCTCTCTCTCTCTCTCTTGGGGGACCAACAGTATTTTTGTTTGAGTTTACTGTGTGCGTCTTCTAGGAGACGTAACAAATGTCTGGTTATGTTCGGTAGGAGGCAGTTCTTAATGTGGTGTTCCTCAATTTCTCGGCATGCCGTTTGATGCATTTCTTTGAACTCGGTGCTCTGCTCTCATCAGGTTCCCCAGCAAATTTTGGAATTGTAGTGCTAGGGATTCACAAGGACCTGTGGAAGCCATCAGGTCCAGTTGGGACTCGAAACATGTCGTAGGCGTCTGTGATTAGGGCCAGCGACTTTGGAGGATGTAGGCGGGGTCACGCCTGCACATGCCCCCGTGAGTGCTAAGGCAAAAGCATGGCTTCAGGGTAGTACTATTGAAACGGTTGTGGTACTTAGTTTGGAAGGGGGCAGCAGTAGAGGTTTGGGTTGAGGCTTGAGGTATGTTGTTGTTCTAGGAGCTTAAGACTTTTACGCGTGTTGAGTTGTGGAGTTCGAGATGGCGTAGGAAGATACAAACGAATGGATTCGACGTGTCTGCACTCGGACATATTCACGTCCCGCAAAAGCCCCCCCCTCCCTTACACACATACGTATTACAACAGTCCGAAGTCTGTTTTATGCTTTATGTATCAGGAGTGTCGATGATTCGTGGTACTGACGTAGCACATTTCGTCATTCACTGGGCATACAAGAAATTACACCTGCAGGCGCTTCAATTCGGTAAGTACCTTATAAGTGCTAGAGCTGCGTCAGCAGTTTGATCTGTCTAGGCCTGGGTACTTGGTAGCTTGCGACTGGACCCCATGCAGCTGAGGCCATCCACTCTTCAACAAGCGAACCTTGTGCAGTCATATTTGTATCTCTTTTGTGGTACTTGCAGGCCTTTTGATAGCTCGAAGTGAGATTGTAAGAAAAAATGACACGGTTCTGAAGATAGCTATCCTACGGATAGCCCTCCAACTACCCGTGCACCTTTGGAGCTTAAGACTCGGGAGTGCAGAGCTCGTAACGAGTGGGTTCGGCCAGGTTTTTCTTTTCATGTGAGCTATAATCTAAACTCCTTACAGGGAGGCGGGGATACTAGGTGTCCCTGAATGAAGCTCCGCTAGGATAGCACGTTCACCAGTACCAATCTCCCGGCTTCGCGAACTAAGGAGACTTGCGTCGGACATTTCCAAAAGTGAACCTGTCCCAGAACAAGCTCACCAACAGAAGCGTCCAAACAGTCAAGTCGCAGACTTTGGGGTTTCTTATGGTCTAGTCCACAGCAGGGTGAAGCCTGCAAAAGAATATGACTGTGTCGGGATCCTTGCATGGACAACCGAGGCATCTTACGCCTTTGCACATTCCTGGAGGAACAAGAGATAAAGGTTTACGAGATGAATTTCAGCGACAATGCCATTGATGACGATGGCCTCTATCGGCTCGCCCAGTACATCACTTCTGAAATGGCTCCGGTTCACGCGCTGTACATGTCTGCAAATCAGATTAGCATGCAGGGTGTGGTTAGACTGCTGACGATGCTATCGCTTCACCCCATGTATCCTGTGGAGTTTGACCGGGGTGGGAAAGCGGCTTTCCTACCGCTATGGCTTCAGCTCGATAATAACATGATTGAGAACGATCATCTGCAAGACTTCCTGGACCACCAGCTGTCGATGCTGGGTTGTGCGGTCTGCCTGGGAGACAAGCACTGTTCAAGAAACTGGGCTGCTGTTAAACTTAATGTGAGTTACTATATTGGGGAAACCATATTACGTAATTACTATATATACCCATTGTGATAACTTGATTTAAGTTCCGTAGCCGCAACCCAGGAAAGGCGTGCCCTCCTGCAAACAGGGTAGTACCAGGCCGAAAGCACAATGCTGCTCACAGCAACAATGCTGGGTTTTTAGGGTTCAAGGTTTAGGGTGAGTGTCGTTGGGTTTGTATTCTGCATGCTTGGGGTTCTAAAGAGTCTTCTCCAAATTCAGGGCAGTTGTGAATGAAATGATCACCGTAGAACCATAGCCCGCAGAATGATCAGAATCATAGGCCAATGTCGGGATTTCCGAAGATTGGGGGTCCCTAGCATGAGGATTATAGTATTTTGGGGTCCATATTGGGGTCCCCGGGTTTCCTAACATTAGGGGTACCTCTTTGCGGGTCCAACTATCATGTGCACAGCTTCATCAATCCTTGAAGATCGGTGCTTCAGGTCTGCTTCGCTACATTAAATGGGTGGCCCAGACTTCATGGTTCGTCATACTTCCACCCTACATCCACAGCCACAAATTTCAAACCTCCAACCCACCAAAGCTACATCCTGAAGACATACGACCCTAACCCACACAACAACAGCCCTAGGCGCAACTTAACTTTAGCAACAGGATCCAGAAGAGGTTGTTCTGTAGCCCTTTTTGCGAAGGATACGGCAACACCCAACAGATCCAACACCCCTCAAGGTTTTGTAGAGCACGATATCCCCTAACATTACCTTTGGTGAGCCGGGAATGAAGGTATTTAAAAGGAAATGGAAACTACTATAGTGGGCTATATAGGGATGACTACAAGGATGCATTCCTGAATTATTAGCTATCTACAGGTAAGTAACAAAGCCTAGAGAGTCTCATCAGCCCATACAAGTTTGCTACTCAGGTTGTTTTGCACCTCTGCTTGCGCTCGAAGGATGAGCCTCCATTGGACGAGAGCATGCTTCAGGACTTTTCTGCTGCAATTTCAGGAGGGCTTCGGGTGTTAAACCCTAAATAGTCGTTTCCATTGTCTTTCCACTTCCCCTATATACCCCTATATAGCCCCCAGATAGATACCATTTGTTGTTACTACGGGTCTAGGCCGGGGCCCAAGCCCTGGGGCGGGGTTTGCCAATTTTTGCGCCGCTGGTGGCTTGAGAATCAGGACATCCTCAGGGTTTGGGGGCTTAGGGTTCAGGGTTTAGGGCTCAGGGTTTAGGGCGCAGGGTTTAGGGCTTAGGGGCTTCCATGGTTCTTTCAGCTTTCGTTGGAGTTGATGCTGACATCGCTTGGAGAGCCCATCAGAAGCTACTGCATTAACATCAGGGGATGGCAAGTTCAACGTCACCAGGTCTACAGCTTCAGATCGCATGTTGCTGGAAACAGGCGGCCTCATTTCAAAGTACCCATGAAGGGGGTGGGCGAAACAGCTGTTTGTTCACGAGGGTTTCGGGTCTGTACACCCTGGATCCCGATGCCCTGAAGAGCTGGGCCGTATGCTGTTCCTTCCAGGAACAAAACTGGAGTTTATCGTGTTGTGTTCTTCTGACAGTTACTGCTAATCCTCAAGCTCCAGACTGTACCAAAACCTTCGGAGCCACCGACTACCGACCCAAATCCAACGCTTGACCTGACACATGGCCGTGCGCCTTTGGAGTAGGCCGGCATGGCACCAGCAGGGCTCAGCACATCCAAGATCTTCGAGCACCTGGGTGGAGCTTGGCTTTGTGTTTAGGGCTTACACTGTCCAAAGCTCTAAACCCCACACTGCAAGATCTCAAATCTTCCGGTTTCGAGTTTTTGGCGTGCAAGGGTTTTTGGCAAGCATGAAGCAGGATCTCACGGAACATCACAGATGTGAGCAAGTATGAGATGAGCTTCATATTCTTCGGAAGGGTCTTCCAATGGGCCAAGAGCGGCAGAACTTGCTTAAAATGAGAGATGGCATTTTTTGCACAATAGGGGTTGTTAACCTTCCTACTAAGTACCCCTGACCCTCCAAGTATGTAGGGAGACGCATGAAAGCCATCTTATTGAGGGTGTGGTCAAAATTATGATCTCTTTCTAGGTCCCCAGTATAGCATGGGCTCCTAAGGGTGCCCAAGTAGGAACACACTTTTGACAACCGACCAATCTTTAGAGACATTTTTTGGTTATTCCTGCATTGTTTACAAGAACCCTGAGCCTGTATCCCTGAAGTCGACACCTCACGCGTGCATACATGACACAATACGTATGCCTGAAAATGCTCAAAAAGTACCCTTCACTTGCACTCCCATCCTGAATCCTGCCAAGGGAACATAGGAGGCTGACATCTCGGATGAACTGGCTGCAGAAGGAACCATCGTGCCTTGGAGCAACGTCATGCTCAGGGTAACAGGTTCTGATCCACTCATCTTAATCCCCTCCCCCTTATAATAAGCCCCATCCCCCATCATAAGCCCCCGACATGTAGTACCCTTATGTATTGGGGGAATATGCATTATTCATTGGTGGGTGCTTATGATTAGGGAAAAGGATTTGAACTGAAGCCCCCACCTCTATAACACATGATGGTTGTGTTGGATTTGCATTTGGATTCTGAGGCTTCAGGGCCTGAATCATATAAACCCTAAGCCCAAAACCTTAAACCCTAAAACCCTACTGCTAGAATGTCCTAAACCTTTGAGCTCGGAATTTGACATGCAACTTGTAGTCTAAACTCCTTGAAGGGGGTTATATGGAGGGTTCTATGGGGAGCATGATAGGGGTTACTAAGGGGGATACAGACTATAGCTCAAATTGTTGCGAGCTAGCATTCAGCATGAGTCCCATGCGATGAAAGAGGTGCTCAAAAACGAAGCTTCCATGGACCTTCAATGGAACCCCACCACACTGAACCCGAAATCCCACCGCCAAGGGCTTCATAGAAATAAAGGCATGAGCTTACCATTAGAAACGAAGAATAATTCGCGTTACAGATGAACGCAACAGTAAGATGGCAGAAAGTACAACAAGGGCAAGAATACCCAAACTCTCGGAATTTGCAAGGAGTGCGGGCGTCGTTGCAGAAAGGGTCCAGCGAGACGAGCCTAGATTCCTCTACGAAGATGCGCACTTGGGCTCACGATTCAATTGGATTTCCTACAAGTAGGGGCGATGTAGAGGTTACATAGGCTTTAGGGCTTAGGGTTTCCCATAATTAGGGGTACCTTTTTGGCTCCCTGTAATGAGGATTGTAGTATTTTGGGGTCTATATTGGGGCCCCTATTTAGGGAAACCACTATTTAAGGTTTGGGTTAGGAATGTGCAAACCAGGGACCAGAACACAAGACTACATAGGGAGCACTAGGAAATGAGGGAATGGAAAAGAAGATGGAAACGTAGTGTATACGGTGCTTAGTAGGAAATGGGTAATGGGTTATAGGGACTGCTAGCTATATTGATTCAGTCTTTCACTCCCTACTAAGCATGATGTCGAAGTTGGAGGTGATTCCCAATTGGTTTTCACGGTAGTGTGCAGCAAGGGGTTTGTGAGTTTGTGATGTGTCATTAGAGGTCTCTAGATCTGAAAATGGCCGGAGGCAGTTTGGGGTGGATTCCGGCTTGTGATGGTTTCTATGTTATAACAGGGTATAATGTAGTATGTTATGGGTATATATAGGGTGTATTATAGTATCTGATAGTATATTATGAGTGAATCTACGCCGATTTCAGAGGCCAGGCATGGTTGGTGGGATTCTAAGCTTCGGGCTGCTCGTGGATGTTGGGGGACTTTTTCAAAACTGATCTTACTGGTTCTTAGTATGGAATAAGGGACAGAAAATATTATGTAGGGGTTGTATAGGGATTGTATTTCCTTGTTCCTTACTAAGAATCAGTAAGTATGTCCCAGGGTCAAATGGAACAGTATTATAGGAGTTGTTAAGGGGGATACTAGGAGTTTAGACTATAGCTCATATTATCTTCGTGACACAGTCCTACGAGTAAGGTAGGGAACGCGTTCTCTAGCGCTCTGGAAGAGGGTCCATGAATGTTCCTTACGAAGCCCTTTTCCAAGTCATTTAGGCACCAGCTATACGCCCCTTGGGTTCAAGTGCTCCCTCGCTTCCGGGTAAAGCTGAAATTTCTGGCATAGTCTTGGAGCCTCATGTTTGGTTTAGAGCTGCCACATTGGCAGGTTCAACTTTTAAAAGTTGGTCAGATAAGCACTCCGAGCCCTAGAATCCCCAACACAGAGGTTATATAGGGATAATGGAAAAGAAAATGGAAACTACTATGTTATAGTAGGGTATAATATAGTATGTTATGGGTATATTGTAAGGTATGCTATAGTATATTATAGCATACTTGTGTCCTAGACCCCATGTACTCCTCTCATCTAGCGTCGGGTTGGTTAGGAATGAAGGAATGGTTCCTTCTAGTAGTCCCTATATAGCTTAGTATAGTAGTTTCAATGTTCTTTCCGATTCCTTCATTCCCAGCTAACCAAAGGCCAGCAATATGTAACCTCGAAAGGAGCCCAAAAAAGACAATTGTGTTTTGCAAAAGGCTTTCAATATGAGCGCTCCATGTGGTAGCTTCCCAAAATAGGGGGAACCCAAGAGAGACCCCAAAACATTGCAATCATTATTATGAGGACCCCCGAAAAGGTACCCCTAATTTTGGGAAGCCCCTAAACCCTAAACCCTATAAAAACCCTGAACCCTACACCTCATAAAACCCCAAACCCTAATTTTGGAAAACCCCTAAATCCTAAATAACCACAGTTTCCGTTTCATCTTCCATGTTTTCCACTCGACTTTCCATTATTGGTGGTAATATCCTCAGAATTTTTAGGAAAGCCTCATGTTTTGTTGGAAGATAGGCCACACCATCGGCCCATGCCCAGGCATTTCCTGGTCATGCTGAAGCCTGCTGGGTGGCACTGCGGCAATGAACTCCATGCCGCAGGCCCCAAAACTTCAGTTTGATGGCGTTTAAGGCTTAAGATTTGGGATTTGGGGGTGAAAGATTTTTTGGCTTCGGCCGAATGGGTTTGCCAGGTAGGGGTTAGGCGCGAGCCCAAACCTGATTGAAGCTGCATCACCAAAACTGGTTTGTTTTATATTTGGACTCGTATCATGTGTATTCCTGCTACTGATAGTGTTACTAGTACTGCTGGTGCGACGGTGCGCCGGTTCAAAAAGTACTGCTCATTCATGTTAACTCTGAAGCCGCTAATTTAAGAACACAATGAACTTATTGGCAGCTGTTTCTTATGGTGTGAGTGTAATGTTGAGACCCTGCGCGTTACATCTGAGTCCCTCTAGAGAATCCTTACAGTGGACCTAATTGCCTTGTGATATTTTACATCCCTGGCGTCACTAGGGTATCTGCATTTTGAGACAACCTCATATGTTTCTCGCAGCAGCTGTTCACACTTTAAAGGCATGATGAGACCACATTAACAGTTCACAGAGGGGCATCCTCTTTTTCAGCCCTTGCATGTTGGTATGTCTCAAAAATGAGGTTCCCGGCAGATCGTCCCATATGGTACGTAGGACCCCTTGAAAGACGTCCAACCTACTTTTGAGATATTTGGATACCACTGGGAAGTCAAAAGTTCTGATTGGAAGTACACTAGGCTATCGAAAGACTGCGATAAGGGAAAAGCCCGAAGCAAGCATAGAGTATTCACAAAGCGCAAGCAGACCACAGCTCCATGAAGGCACAGGGAGGAACCTTGCAATGCAAGTGCCGAAAATGACCAGCGTGCCTGAGCAGATTTTGGAAGTTGTTAAGAAGCAGGTTCCCTGGAGATGTAGGAATCACGAAGGGATACATGTCCTTAATTGAAAATTAGATGATACAGCTGCAGAAACAACCTTGGGGGGTTGGGTTTCCCGGGTTGGATGTAAGAATTGAACTTGACAGGCTTCATGGCATTGGGTTTGGGACTCGGGGCTCACTTGTGCAGCACAAGTCCATTGTTGAATGCCATGCTCATGACAAATGCTGCAGCATGCATTCCATAGCAGCCTGAGCCACTGCAAACTCATCAGGTAGCTATGACTGCGGAAAACGGTTGTGATTGTTTGGACCGCTTTACTGTCCAAGACATGGAATCCCTACAACCCCAAAATTATTTTAGGGGCTCAAACTTGTGTCGAGAGGACCCACAAGTGCTACCCACATACATGAGAACGGGGAATCATCTATGATAAAAAAGGGTCAGAACTACTGCGAAGCTGAGGACAAGCGGAAGGACTTGGGCAAGCAGCTCCTGAAGTATGGGGAGCATCTGCTTCAGCTTCAGAACATGTAAAGCCTTTTAGCCTTCAGGCGGTGTTGAGGGCAGGAGGTGCCTCGGAAACTCCAATCCACAGCATGAGCCCCAATTTATTGTTTGGATGTACACCAGGGGATTACCAGGTGTCTGGGGTGGTGCAGCCCGAAACCCTAACATTGAGGATCATGAACATGAGATCCAGACTACCTCGATGCTGTGTTGAACCGCGGCCCTTGCAATTTTTGCATGCTAAGCCTACAATTCCAAACCCACAGCATGGGACTAAAAGCTCTAAAGGTTGAACCTGAAACTTTGAAGTCTCAAAGCCCCAACTCCAAAACCTTAAACTCCAAGACTTACCTTTGGTTAGCTAGGAATGAAAGAATGGATCCTTATAGTAGTCCCAACATAACCCATTATAGTAGTTTTCATTTTCTTTTCCATTCCAGTCCCAGCTAACCAAGGGTAAGAAGAAGGTGAAGCCCAAGCCTGAACTCAGAAGCTGAGACCTTCTAGGTTATTTAAGGGTTTAGGGTTAAGGTTTTGGGGTTTGGGGGTTTAGGGTTACGGTTTTTGAGGTTTGGGGGTTTAGGGTTAAGGTTTTTGGGGTTTGGGGTTGAGGTTTTAGGATTTACGCTTTGGGGTTTAGCGTTTCGGTTTTTAGGGTTTATGGGGTTTCCAGTATGGTCTCTTGATGGCGAGTGGGTTCGCACTGTAGTTTCTCGTATGATTTCTGCGGAGATCTTCGAAAGCCTTTAAACAACCAGGGGCATAAACCAGAAACACCAAGACATAGTCAAAACTATGCAGTACATTTCTGGTTTTTCGTTTGTGTTTTAGTATGCCCTGTTCTACTTGCCCTGTTCCTGAGCGTGGAAGCCGGGAGCTATAAGCCGCTGAACCATGAATTTCCGAAGCTCTGGATCCCTGACCCCCACTTGAACCCTTGGCATTCTGAACTCAATAGCTGCTTATCTTTCCTTAGCACCCTGAAGTCAACAAGCCTGGAACTCGAAATCAACCAAGCAATCCCCTAACATCCTTAATTCTGCAAACCTTAAATAAATCCTAACACCCTGAACTCAACAAATCTGAAAGCTTAATCCCAGGAGGCGCAAGCCTTACACGACTACATCATTTTGCGTTTCGGGGCGGATGAAGCCATGAAAAAAGTCGGGTCCTGAGTTGGGGCTGAGTGGAGTTATATCCAATAGCAACTGTCCGTGACTGGTCATGGTCTTTGCATTGCAACTCTTTACTTTCTCATTCAACAGATTGTGCATTGGATCTGTACTGTGTTGGGGATATTGTCAACACGCCACGTTGGCTGGTCAAGCACTGTCTGGTAGCGATGAGCTGTGTTCTTTGGCAATTGATACCTCTCTTCTGTTTCCCTGGAACCTTCGACGATACAAAGCTCTGGCTTCGGGGTTGGGCATGGGGTTGTAGGTATTAGGGACCCTGGAACAGGAGCCTTCTTGGCATTTGCTTGTGGACTTCGTAGGCCCGTAGGTATGGAATTTGGGGGAATGAAAGGGCTACACTGATCCAGCATCACGAATCTGAGGACATAAGGACATAAGGTTTGAGCCAAGATTCTGTTTTCGTTTGCAGGGATAAGTCCTAAACCCTCAACCCTAACTTCTTGATACGTCCTTAGGCGAGGCCAAGCAAACCCAAAGCCTCCAAGGGCCCTAAATGACGCAATGGGTGTTTCCAATAGTTTAGGGGTAGAATTGTAGGAGTGCCAGCATGAAGGACTATAGTAGTTTAGGGTCTATATTGGGGTTCCCCTATAATTTACCCTATATACCCTAAAGCCTATAATAAAAAGGGCTTATACAACTACAGTTCATGGAAGTTGCCATCTTCAAGGTCCGCAAACTCCTGGGATTGCCTATATGGATGCAAGCCAGGAAAGAGATCCTAAATGAGCTATAGTCTAAACTCCATAAAGGGGGAGTATTACAGGGGTTAAAAAGGGGGATACTAGAAGTTTAGACTATGGCTCAAATCAACTCAGCTGTCTCTTAGTGAGGCTGCCATACTGCTTATAAAATACAGAAGGTGAGGGATGTGTCTTGTGATTTCAAAGTTTTCGGAAATAAATCCGTAGGGTTTGGGGTTTAGGGCCTAGCATGTAGGGTTTAAGTTTTAGATTTTAAGGTACGGGCAGACCCCCCCATCCTTGGGCACGTGTTATGGGTTCTTGTTTGTTTGAGCTACCACATGCTCCAATGCCATGTAGACGAGCTTCATGCCCGGAGCTCTAATCCCTAAACCCAAAACCAAAAGCCCTAAACCCTAATCTCGATCCCTAAACCCAACTCGGGAGAGATGTTTGCACGGAAGGTCATGAACGCTGACAAGCTGTACGGAATGGTCCACAGGCTGCGGCACGGCCTAGGATCCCATCCTTGAACCCATCAATCTAAGGCTAAGAGTATGGGCCCCTAATATGGGCCCTGAGACCTTTTAGAGGAACTCTGGGGACCCTTATGGGTACATATTATAGGGTATATAATAGGTGTATAGGAAGGATCCCAGGGTTACGGGCCCATACTAGGGGCCAATGGTTTCAACCTTAGAATCAACCCTACCAACTCAACCCTAGCATCACCGCCTCATTTTGGCGCGGGAAGGAGGGTTGAACAGAAATAGTTTCCATTTACTTTTCCACTATCCCTATATAATCCCTTTATTCCCCCTATACTACTATATTACCCCTAATGTTCTCAAACCCTTAACAGTGAGTCTTGGGCATTCCAGGGCATGACTTATGAGCTAACTCGAGAGAAATGTTTTGAGATAGTTGCCGGATAAACCTGAAACAAGGCCATGACAAGACTGCGTTGGGGAGCGATTCAATCAGTTTCACAAAAAGCGTATGGGTGCCCCATGGTTTTCTGAGATCCGGATGTTGCAAATGTGTTGCTGCCTATGTTGAAGGCCATTGTGCTTGTATGCCGCCCCTGGCCGGCTTTAGGAAAAGTGCGACCTGCATGCTCAACGTAATGCCTTGATGGGCCGCAATTGTCCTTCAAGCTTTCATCGGACAAGCTCACAGCAGTTGATGATTGCAAGCCGGCCCCGTTCTGCTACAACTATGGATAGCGCCTAGCCTAGTTAGGAAGATGCTTGCGCTCATTGTTTGGGGTGCGAGCTGGCACCAAGAATCTGCTCCCGGATTGGCCTTCAGGATATTTAGTTATGAGCTGTAGTCCGAACCCTGTAAAGGCGGGTAGTATAATAGGGGACTACTATAGGGGGATACTAGGAGTTTAGACTATAGCTCATATGTTCTCCTTCTGGCTTCGTAACGGAACCTGGATACACGAACAGCAAAAAAAACAACAGCTCCCCTAAACCCCAAACTCTTGGCATGTAAACTACCCGAGGCCAGTGCATTTTGAATTTGTGAGTGCGTCCATTGGACTCTACCATCAATCATCAAGAAGAGCAACAAACTCTTGGCAGGTTGGACGTTGGAACATCTGGGCCGCTGCTGATAGCCAAGGGTCTCGAGGGCCGCCAGGAACAAATAACTGTAAAGGATGGTACTTCGTAGTTCTATAGTTGTATATCCCTATGATAGTTTGTTATTATGTTGTTTCATACGGTGATACTGTAATACTATGTAACTATCCTATAGTAGGATAGTACGATAGAATTATAAATATACTCTTGTTCTACCACAGTACTTACATTACGTACTGTATGACGACTGTCGTCAGGGCTGTAGCTTTTCAGAGTTTAGCGATTCGGGCTTAGGGCTTTGGAGCTTAGGGATCAGGGTTCGGGTTTTAAGGCTGGGGGATCCGGGTGCAGTGCTTGGGCATCAGGAGTGAGGGTGTAGGGGTGAGGACAAGGATTTAGGGATGGGCTTAGGGCTGGCGGGTTAATGAAGAGTTTCGGCGTGTTTTCTTTCAACGTTTCCCTACAAGATGCCTTGAATTGTCGTGCTACCATAGTTTTTTGTTGGCAATGATGTAGAAAATTGCGCTGACCGATGTTGACGTGCAGATTCATCAGCTTGAGAAATGTGTCCATTTTACGAGAGTAAGGCCCGACTCTGTCAGACGCGCTGATGCAGTTGAACCAACTACAACCCATGATGTGACACCTTCAGGTTCAGGGCTAGCTGGCCATGGATTTCTTGGACATTTCGGAGGATGAACCCGTTTTATCTGAGTTAGTCGTTGTGCCAGCGTCATCGGGGATGATGCTGCCGTTGCCATTCATCAGGTTCATCATCATCATCATCATCTTCATCATCATCACCATCCTATCATCATCATCATCATCATCATCGTGACCAGCGACACCAAAAATCTATCACCACCAAAGCGCTGCCGAACAATCTCTGCGCGGAATAGGCTATAGGCTTTAGGCGCTGCTAGCCGCTGTGACCGCAGTTGTTGGCTGTTGTACTATCCGCGGATTGGAGGTTACCTGTTAAAGGTAAAAAATTCTAGCGTCGTTCAACATCAACAAAACATGTGGCAGTGGCTTGTGGCAGTCCTACCGCCAGGGGCTTGCGCCACACCTTGAGCTTCGCGTAGCAATAGCTGAGCATCAGGTAGTATGGAACCAGTTCTTCGAGAAGAATGCCCTGCACAACGATTCGTCCGGTAGCTCCTTTGGGTGATGACCAATATTGAAAGCCTTATTTCGAGAGTGCGAATGGTAGCAATGTAGTGCGCAGCCCCATAAGACCTACAGTTCATTGCCCGAAGCAGCACCCCCCGGAACCCCTAGACTCTCAGCGCAAGCCCGTTCTTGTAGGGCCTTAGACTTTGAACGCCCTCAAACCTTACATAACAGCCCTGACAGCAGCTTTATATTCTCAAGCTCTAAACCCTAGATCCTAGCCCAGATCACCTGTAAAAAGCTAAGGCTTTTTCTGGGCTAAGCAGAAGATTGCAGCTCAAGAGCTGCAGCGAGACTATGTTGCTTTAGTGCCCTGGCTGGCGTCAGGGAATGCGTATAGGGACTCCACAGGGTTTTTGGGGCTCATATGTAGCAAGCAGAATCCCTGAATGTAGGGGCTCTGCCAGATCTTCTGTGCGCAAGTTTCAGTTGACTCAGTGAGCTCTAAAAAAATTGGTCCGGTGGCGAAGCAATGAACTGTGGCTTTGGGGAACTAGGCCTTCAGCAGGAGAGTTGAGGTTCAGAAATGAGAGGGGCAGAATGTAGGCAGGCTTGAATTCTGGCTTTAGCTTTGCTGCAAGGGGCACGCTTAGTGTTTACAGTTTAAGGTCCAGACTGTGAGCCCTTTGTCCATCTCCAATGAGCCCCTCGACCGCTCCACGCAAGGGATTATGAGTCAGAATGACACTGTCGTAGGTTCAGGTTTTGAGCTAACTGGTGAATGTATTCGTGACTCCAACAGAACCAGTTCCGAGGAGACTGAATAAATCAATACCATTCAGGCATTGATTTTCATGTGCGGGGCATGATTTGCGAAATAGCGCCAGGGGTATAGGTTGTCCACTACCAGACCATCCGTGCCAAAAATGCAGGCTGCTCCAATGATTAACCTACTTACTAAGTCCCCCTGACCCTCCAACACCAAACCGAAAGCCCTAAACCCTGAACCCCAAACCCTTTTTTTTTGGTGGTTTCCATTTTCTTGTCCATTATTACTAAGTTCCCCTATGGTTTCAGGGCCCTTATGGCTTCAGGGTGAGGATCACCTGCTCTGTTGCAGGTCCATGGGACTTTCGGTCGGGATGCCAGGGGCGAGTACGGGCCGACTGGGATCATCCAGGTGCTGGGGGTTATGGGGTTTAGGGTTGTTTTGGGTTTCGGTTTGAGGTTCCACAAGTTCAGGAATTCCCGCTGAGGTTAAGGGCTGGGGATGTAAGATGTCAGGTTTTGGAGTCGGGCTTCAGGTGGGTTTTGTTGGGTTGCAGGCTAGGACAGTGATTAGGGAGTCTGGATTTTTGGGCAGATGTGGTAGCACTTGAGACACTAGACCTCCAAACCCCTACACTGAACCTTACTAGAGCTTTCTAGGGAATAAGGGTATATGTTATATGGGGGTTATATATTCCCTTAGTCCCTATTACCAGTAAGATGCCCTGAGTCCGAGAGCCTGGATCCTTGACTCGAGGCTCCAGTCGACAAGTCTCGCTACGAAATTACCCGGAGATGCGAAATTCATGCGACACCCTGACTGAGGTAGTCTTGGAGGTGTTTCAGGGGTTGAGGCTCTAGTATAAACCCAACAAGGGTGTAAATAGCGTGACATCTAGAGGGGACTAGACGGGTTATCAAGGACATTCTGCAAAGATTCACTCCCCAACTCACACTTGGCGTGCTGGGAAGCTGTCATAGGGGTTTCTGCAAGCGTCTGACTAGCACTCACGCCAAGCGTACGATGAGTGGTCTAGAATATGCAGGGTTCAGATTTGCTTTTCAAAAAGGATTGCGCTGTGAAGCTCTTGGGCGGCGGATTCTACGATTTCAGGCTTCAATGAGGGTGGTAGCTCTTGGGAATAGTTGAGAGGGCCCCTCCTGGTAACAGTCTTTATTAGGGGTCATACCAAGGGCTATAATATAGCTATATTCTACATATAATCCAATTGTTACAAAGTGGGGGCAGGGCCCAAAGTATTGGCTCGAGCTGAGGAATGGTCAGCCCGCGTCGACGCTTTACGAGCGCATAGCGGAGTACGAGAGCCCAAACAGGAAGGTGGGGCCAAGGATCCCTCAACCCCAATCCAAAACCCCCATACACCCTACACCCTCAGCCCTAAACCCCCCTAAACCCAAGGTTTTACCAAAACCCCCTATACACCCTACACCCGAAATCCCCCTAAACCCAAGGTTTCAGAGCCTCGGTTTAGGGTTTGAGGGTGTTGTGGATGAGTGTAGCTTAGTGGAGCCCGTTGCCCTTTGCTATTGACATTGCCCCGTAGGATGACACAGTTGAAGAACAAGAGCTTTCATTGTCAGGTTGGAGAAGGGTACACAGGGCTCCCGCTTTAGAACTGTCTCTGCTTAGTGTTTGTATAACGTACTGAAGTCCGTGCAGTCGGCAGATGCTCTTCAGAGCAGAAACCAAAGCACCGACATGCCGCGCCCACACGACCCTAAACTTTATCCCCGATGCCTTCCTAGAAGATATTTTTGGTGCTGACCAGTACATTTACCGTTCTGCATTGGGCTCTAGGAACAGCACAGTCGGGGCTGGAAGTGCCAGGAAGCAGTAGTGCAGGGCATTTCCATGACAACAGAACCAAAAGTATGAAATTGCTGCGGATGATACAGCGGCAGGGTTGCATTCCTCCGTTCCCTATATGGGGGTTTCTCAAAATTAGGTGGTGCCTGTTTGGGGATCCCTATAATAAGGATTTTCGAATTATAGTACATGGGGGTCTATTTCGGGTTCCCCCTATGTGAAACTACTACAAACAGCCCGCAAAGTGTAGCTCTTTTTGCAGGCACGTTACACGCTGCTACACTGCCGACTGCTCACGGGCCGCACTCATCAAATTCGAGTGCACCTCGCACCTTTGCCTCGCAGATATGTAGGGATTTACAAGGATTGTATAGGGGAATGGAAAGAAAATGGAAGCTACTATAATGGAGAATCAAAAGGAAAATCAAATCAAATCTAGGGTGAAGTGGGGAGGAGAAAAGGGATAGATAGGAGGCATGGAAAAGAAAATAGAAATTACCATGTAGAGTTTAGGGTTTTGGGGTGATTCTAGAAGCATCATGTAGGGATGAATTACAGGCTTGAGGGAGATGATAATAGGTATTATACGAAGTGATATAGGGATTATATAGGGATACACACGGGGCATGGAAACGATAATGGAACGGTTGGATTAATGTACTATAACAGCATGATTCCCAAGGTTTGGGGTACTTAGGCTCATGCAGGATTTTGAGTATCCACCGAAGCAACTACATTTGTTGGCCGTTTAGGGTTCAGGGGGATATTTCCCGAATACTGGCAAATTTGCTGGAAAAGAAGCATGGAAAATGAAATGGTAACTACTATAGTATTGAGGGATATATAAGGAGGATATAGGGTTTAGTTTAGGCGTACCACGCAATTGGGCTCGAATGGGGTTTAGGTTTAGGGTAGATTGCACATTGCTTTAATTCTAGACACTATATAGTGTCCGTGTCACTTTTCATGTTCTTTTCCATATGATTGTCCAGTGCTTGCGTATCTCAACCCTATACAATCCCTATATAACATACATATATATGTGTATATACACGCCATTTTACTGTAGTAGTTTGCATGTCCTTTTCCATTATCCCTATATAACCCCAATGTATTCGTATAGTGGCCCCAAGAATCTAGTAGTTGCCATCGCTTCTTTCTCTATCATCTGAAAGCACTCACTATGTATCTGGCCAACTTCCCCAAGCCCTGTCCCGCAGCAAGGGTATTCGAATCAAGACGGGGCTTGCAGAAGACACCCAAACTTTGTGTGCTCTGTCAACCTCTGGAATCCTTGGAAAGTGTTCAACGGGTTATGACTTAGCTGCTTGGTGTAGAGAGGCGATTTGTGGAAACTATATAGCAAGTTCTAGAGTCTTAGAATGGCATCATCTGCAACTGTTGAGGAGCATCTGAGGAGAGTACGTTCCCTGCACCTTGGAGCCACAAAAACTAACTCTCAAAAGCGCCTGGTTTAGAACCCGCACCATAGAGCGGCCCTATGCATCTTGGCCCAGGAGCACATCGGCATGCCACTGGTGGGAGATCGGTCGTCACTCAACTGAATGTAAAAAGGGATATATCTGTGTTATGTAGGGATTATGGAAAAGAAAATGGAAATTACTATATTAGACTAGGGTACATCTTTGGGATAGGAAGTGAACAAGGCAATATATTGGGAAGGCTGTTTCTCAAAGACCCGCCCGAACCAGACTTCACAATTTACGAAAACCGCCCCTGCATAGGTATCAGCGCCATCGAAAAACCTTCGACACTGCGCTCACCCTGGACCGAACATTCCTCCACAAGGCAGCTCTCTGATAGTATACTATATTCCCATATTCCCTTGTATAACCCCTCGTATAACCCCAATGAATACCCTACTATAATGTATTAGTAGCTTCCGTTTTCTTTTCCGTTATTACATACTATATTCCCGAAGTCCCTACTATAACCCCACTATATACCCTATTCTAGTGTAGTAGTTTCCACTTTCCTTTCCTTTATTCCTATACATCCCCAAAGTATACCCCAGTATGATAGTAGTGTCCATTTTCTTTTCCATCATCCCTATAGGGCCCCGAAAATATACACTATCATAATGTGGTAGTTTCCATTGTCTCTTCCATTATCCCTATATAACCCCAATATAACCCCTATACAATCCCAGTTTCCATTTCATTTTCCATGTTCTTTTCCTTTTGATTCTCCATTATTGGGGTAATAGAACCCCAACATATCCCCAATATACGCCCTATTATATTCTAGTAGTTTCCATTTTCTTTTCCATGATCCTTATATAACCCCAATACTACTCTCTAAGAACCAGTAAGAAACGAAAGGTGCGGTTCATCCTCTGGACTTGTCCAACTGGTGAGCCGGTCGTAGCTGGATGCGCTTTTGGGGTTTGAGGGCATAGGGTTTGGTTAAGGGCTCAGGGGGCTTCAAAAAGGATTTAGGGAGTAGGGAGCTTTGAAAGGGATGTAAAGAGTCAGGATTCAAGTTTTGGGGTTTAGGGACGTGAAGAGACGTTCTACCTGCTGCGATGGGGACCCGATTACCTGAACCTGCATGCTGGAAGCAGTCCACAAGTGGAACAATGATTGCGGATACGGTGTAGGGCTTTCTAGCACCCACATAGACCTTGCAAGCAACAGGGGATATGTGTGATGCATTTACGCATGCTCCTACCTGCTTCTCATGCTTAGACACACATGCCAGCCTGAGACTGCTCCAATCCTGAGCCGGGTGGGAGTGTGGGTGCGTCATCTTCCTTGTTGGGCATGAAGGTTCACAGGTGCAAACGCGCAATGCCTTTTGTTTTGGGGGGGACGAAGTCCAAGCCGCCGCAGGTTTACCTCAAGGCCCTAGAGAAGATTCGCCCACAAACAGTTCTTCCTACGCCTCAAGTCCTTAACTCAGAATCCCTGAGCTCAGGTTGTTTGGTCGCCGCTAAAATTCGCAGACGACCTGTGCAGGTTCTTGAGGAAGCTCAGGAGAGGTGGTCCGGGTTGAGGGTTCCATGGCTCTGAGGGGTGGCCTCTGGCCTGAACATAGGGGCGATGTAAAGGACTTGATCAGCTTAGCTTGTGGTCTGCTAGGAGCTGCAGTCTGCAGGGTTAAGTAGGAGCTTCTTCAAGAATGTTGGTCGTGTTGGTTGCAACTAGGGTGTGTTGAGCGCGCGCGTGTTGAGAATGCTGGAGGGGCGTGTTGGGAACGACCGAGGGGCGTGTTGGGAACGGGCAGGGAGCGAGTCGGGAAAAGTACACGTACTTGTGTTAGCAGCGCCTTTCGGGAACATGCGAGCCGGTGCTTTATACAACTTAAGTGAATATTCTTGTTCCCCGCTTCTCACTTTGCGATAAGATGAATGGAGTGACAGAGGGAAAGCCAGGTAGAGACATATGTCAAAACCACCCCATGTTTCACCCTGTGATAAGATACATGGAGACAGAGGGGAAGCCAGGTAGAGACATACGTTAAAACCACCCCCCTTCTCACCTTGCCATAAGATGAATGACAAAGGCAAAGCCAGGTAGAGACATATGTTAAAACCATCCCCCCTTTTCACCTTGCCATAAGATGGGAGTGACGGAGGGAAAGCCAGGTAGAGACATACGTTAAAACCACCCCCCTTTTCACCTTGCCATAAGATGAGTGACAAAGGCAAGGCCAGGTAGGGACACATGTTAAAATCACCCCCCTTTCACCTTGCCATAAGATGGATGAAACTTCCACAATCAGGCTTTAGGCATTAGTAACGAGTGTGACGTGCCTCTTGGCTCTGTTCCCCCCCCTGCGGGGAGTCCCAGCAAAACAGCACGTCTTTGGGTCTTAAGGGCTCTAGGCTTGAAGGTTTCGGAAAAGGGGTTCACCTGCGAGCAACCTAGTGCTGCTTCTGTTCCGCGCGCTGTTTCCCCTGAGGAGGCCGGAAACAGTACCAACGGACAACACACTGCAAGTGCTAAGCCTCAGTTGTTTCAGTCCTTCCTTCAGAGCTTCTAGGCAAACAGATGCAAACCGAGGGACTACAAGTGGGGAGCCCCAGTACCTGCAGCAGTCCTGCCGGCAAGCCCAGCTGTAGAAGGCGCCGCCCTCAGCCGCAAGAAGCGCAAGTGGAAGTGCCCAGTGTGCCAGTTTGAAACTACGGAAGGGGCTAAGTATGCGCATTGGATCTCGAGGGAGCGGACCGTCAGTGTGACGGCTAGCACTGACTTGCCCAGTGAACAGAGTGCGTGGCAGTGTCCTGTTGAGGGCTGCGGGGCTAGGTTGCCCCCGCGCAACGCATACTATCACAAGAAGGCTGTTGCTGAGCATTGTCGTTTGCTGCACCCTGGCCAAACCACTCAATCCCTTGACTACATGGCTAGAAAAGGGTGCCGTAACAAAGGAGTGTCCAAAAGACTTCTCCAAACGCACCAGATGAATAGGGAGGCGAGGTTCCCTTCTCACACTATTGTCAGGGTTGAGCCTGTTGAGCGACTAAGCCAGGACTTTGTAGGCAACCTGTTTTACTGTAGCAGCTGTTTTGAGTCTTCTCCACAAGAACAACCCCACTGCTGCTAAGACCTGTGAACAACGGCAAAAAGGGCTGGAAGCCAACTTGCACACCCGCAGGATGAGGCGCGTCTGGTGGGCTAGGCTTAAGGCCACGGAGCCGGAGCACGCCAAAAACTTTGCCTGAGCTGTCGGCAAAACCTTTGCTGAGGTTAATCGCATCTGTGGATGCGATGACAACCACACTAACCGCTCCCGGGCTTGGGCTATGCTCAGGGCTCAGGGGCCGCCAGGGTGCGAAACCCGACCGTAGAAAGTTTGGCAAGCAGCTGCTCTCACGTGATGAGGCCGCGGCCCGCCAACTTACGTACTCAGGAGCTGGGGCACGACACCTAGCGAAGGTCAGGCGCTCCAAGGCTAAGGGCAGAAGTGCTTCCACGCCGGGCACTAAGAAGGCCGGGGCCTCCAGGAAGGGCTCTGGCAAGAAACGACGTAGTAGTTCAAGTACGTGCCAGCAATTCTCCCGAGCTCAAGTTGCTGCTGCCCGCCTCGGCGGGCACAGGGCTGAGAGGGTGGGTGAAGCTAGGGTTCCTGGACCTACGAGCCTTGCAAGTTTCTTGCTGGTCTCGCTTAACACTGGGGGCCCTCCTTGTGCTTGGAGCGCCATGAAGCATTACGCTGGGGTTTCCTCAGCTGCTGTGCTGGCTTTGCAAGAAACCCGTTTCTCTCCGGGGGAGTGTTTTTTTTTTTCAGCGTGCTGCTGGTTGCTTGGGGTTTCTCGCTCACGGTGCCCCGGGGCAGTGCACTACTGGCAGATACGGGGAGGACTGTCCCCGGGGCGGGGTTGCCCTTCTCGTTGATAAGAGACTTAAGGTTAGTTCGGGTGACGCCAGGGTCAGTGAAAACTCTCAAATGTTTTCTTGCTGGATTGAGGGGTGGCATGTGACTTCCTTTTACGCGCCACCGCCAGGATCCGCTACTGACCCACAGGCTGAGGCTTGCCAGCTCCTCCAGGACATGTTCCAAGCTGCTAGCGTTGATGAGTCCTTCCAGTGGATTTGTTGCGGTGACGGCAATGAGGTTCCAGGAGCTTCCGCCATCGAAAGTACCCGTAACGCGTATGGGGGTAGGGTCTTGGTTCAGAACGTGCCTACTCGTTGGCAGGGTCCTCATGAAATTGATTGGGTGGCTACTAGTCGCCCGAACTTGATGGAGATGCCTAAATGTAGTAACTTGGTTCTTTCGGACCACAATGCTGTGGAGACTCTGGTTTCAGTTCACACTAAGGACTGCACCCGTGGTGCGCTGCAAGCTACTGTCTCTTGGGAGAAGCCTCAGGAGGTTGCTCAGGAGGATTGGCGTAACTTGTTGGAAGCTGCATGGGCCTCCAACCCGGCCAACGCCACCTTTCTTGAGGCCGTTTGTAATCGCAGTGTTGAAGTTCAGCAAGCGTGGGATGACTACATGTGCCTTCTGCGTGACATGTTTTCCAGGGCTTTTCAAAACGATGAAAACTTGGGCTTTTGCCACCGGTGGTGGTGGTAGGAAAGCTCGTAATTAAGGGGTGTCTCCCTAAGTGGACAGCACGCTCTTGGGCGCGCAGTGGCAACAGCGGGCAGGCAGGCTGCCTAGGTGCAACCAAGCTTCGTCGACGCCTTGCCCGTGGCTACGAGCTGCTTAGATGGTGTAACAAGCCTAGGGAGCACAAGGCTCAGCAGTTTTGCGCAGCAGTTCCGTTGTGCCAGAGGTTGCAACTTGGGGAAAACCCGCAGGAAGTCACGGTCAAGGCCTCTCTGCAGGCACGGCTACCAGTGTGGCGCGAGGAGCTTAGGGGCCTTGAAAAGGCCAACAAGAACAGTGCCCTGAAAGTCTGGAAGCGTCGCATTTTGAATGAGCCTGCTGGCATGGGCGCTTGGCTTCGACATCGAGAGAGGGTTCCTGTTACCAGCGTCATTAGAAATGGCTAGGAAGCAGATCGTTTTCGAGTTTTGGACTGGTTTTTGGAAGCAGGCTAGTGATTATGGTCCCTCCACTGAGGATGTCTGTCACAAGCTACCCCTTAACGCTTTGAGGGACAGAGCTGCTACTCAGTCGGCCCCTCCTGACCTTGAGCTCTTGGTTCGTACTTTCAGGCGCGCAAAAGGGGCGGCTTCGCCCGATGGCTGGAAAGGCCAGGAGATCAGACACCTGCCGGTTGGAGCGATCCAGGCTTTTAGAGAACACGTTGCTCTGGCAGGAGCGGGGTGAGTGTCCGGCACAGTTTTCTCACTCTAGGATGGTTAATATCCCCAAGAACCATAAGGTTCGCACGG